GCAGCGCGGCCTTCTCGCGCGATGTCTAATCGTCACGGTCAGCCGAGACCTCGAGCACTTGGTGGATCCATCGAAATTCGGGGCAGATTTTCTTCTCTGCGCTTGGCCTCAGGTTCCCGCCGCCAACCACGTCTCGTCTTGTCACTCGTAACTCGCGACGTCTTTGGGCCGGATGGTCGACCTCAACAACGAGCATGTTCAGCCGAGAGAGATCGCGAGCGAACGCCGGACCACGGCAAAATATCGACTTGCTTCACCACCAAATTGTGACGCCCTGGAGTATCAAGTTCCTCCTGCTTCGAAATGACGAGGTCCACGGATCACATCTCAGCACGAGCGATAGGTTGTTCGTAATTTTCCTCGGTTCGGCCGCGATCACCTTCCGTATCCTTTCCACTTCATTATTCGCCATCCTGTACTCTGAGCTACTTGTAGCATCGTTTCATAAACCACACACGGACCAAAATAAATCACTCCGTTGGGCTCGCTCTCCGCTTCTGACCTCTTGCCCACACACAAATCGCAACAATCCTAAAAGGGGAACTGCATTCTTGTAACACAGCAGCTGAAGCATTTCTTGGTTCCATGACTCACCAATAAACCAATGCGTCACACCTCTTGCTGGCAGAATTTTCATTTTCAATATTCAGATTTCGATCTACGCCACTGTGCACTCCTTCAGCGCTGGCGCCAACCGCATGACGTCACATCCTCTCAGGTCGAGGTTTGCCGCTGAGGACGCCCGTGCAGCAGCCACGCGCCTGGCATAGCAATTCAGAAGAATCCGTCCCGGATTACTTTCCCGAACACCTACAAGCAGACACAGCACGAAAACGTAGGCCATTTACTCCACGGCAGAATCTAAAAAAACGTAAACCCCTCGTGGGTTTTTTTATTTTTCATTTAGTGTTCTGTCTGACGACAGGTCCATATGAACAGGATCCTTCCATCCTTTTCTCTTCTCGGACTGGGACCTGTTCATATACGTTCTTGGCAGATGATCCAGAAGTGGTTTGCCATTGCCTTCTTCTGTGTGTGAATGGAGTAATTGTTGGGATGCCACGGAGGAAAACTCCGTGTTGCCTAGACCACGGCCTTGCCCAACACAAGTTATAAATTCGAACCCGAGACCCCAGGAATTACAAGGCCAGCGTTCTAACCGCTGGACCACCGAGGCGGAACCCTCGTGGGTTACAGCAATACAAAGCGACGCACTGCTTTCTACTTTGCCTTCGATCGAGCCAAATTTTGGTAAGACATGAGAGCTGTAAAAATCGAAACGGGGCATCCTTGACACTACTTTGCCATAACATAACCTCATTTCGGCAACTCGAAAGGCGCTTGTGGCGACCAAGGGGTGACTCACGTCAACCACGGGCAACCGAGGGGGGCTGATGCCCAGAAGGCCGGCCGAGGCTGTCTCTGAAAACACGGCCAAGTCGGGGCGAAGAGTGGTCAAACTACTCGGATTCCCTGAATGAGGTTTTACGTGCTTTTCCTCAGTTGTAAGGCAAATGAAAAGGGGCAAAGCCCGCCTTCACCAATCCGTTGAGGCCATCGTTCCAAAACACGTCAACATTCACATGGAACGTAAACTACTACTGAGTACTTATTTTAATGAATCTCTGTCCACTTTCCCGTCATCCACACGTCTCGCTCGGTAACCATGTCAACAGCCAAAGCCAAGTAGGTAGCTGTAATGCCCACAGTGGATCAGAGGATCGATCGATCGATCGATCACAAGAAAAATAATTGACAACTTGCGATCCACAGAGATCATCTTCAGTAACTTGCTCTAAGTATACAGACGGCCTTGACAGAAGAAAGTTGGATAACATTCTGTATGCAGTTGATAAGAGTGAGATTCCTCGATAATTATTACTGCATTCAGCTTTATCACCTTTCTCATAAACACGCACAGTCAAGGCACTCCTTCCCCTGTTGCAGAAATCTCTTCTTATTCCAAGCACAGTAAGTTCCTGGATCCCAGAACGCAATGTGTTGCCCCCGCCTGGATAATTTCTGCCGGAATATGATGATCAACATCTGATGATTTATGCCTTCAGGCTTCTCGGTCGCAATCCCACGCATACTTTTCTAGCAGCTTACAGCAGTAATTCCTCCCTGTGTTCAGCACGCCCGGGAAATCTGAGAGTAGATCAACATCTCCTCTTTTACGGAGCTACGTCTAGGTTTGTAACTCACTTCTCTGTGTGCAGACGTCTTATCAGTTCCCTTTCAGACACTTCCTTTCCCTGATCCTGAGTGCTCCCTCCACAAGCTTTACATCTCGCGTCAAGCTCTCTTCTACCAAGACGAGATTAACCTGAACGCGTGTCTTTCCGTCAGAAAACGAATTTTGTGATGTAAGGCCACAGTGCCCCTGGCGACTAGGCCGTTATACAGGGCTAGTCTAAATGATGTTCCCGATTTGAAAGACATGAAATTCAGATGCACAAAATTGGTTACCGATGGAAAGAGAAACTCTCCAAGTTTTGTTTCGGTACATCACAGGTGTTCAATGTAAGCCCCCTTGGAAACTCTTGGTGTCCTCGCAGACACGTTGCGGCAATGATCGACTGCTGCAGTGGCACGCAGATCAAGCAAGGTCTGTGGTGAGGGTGGCACGAAGACTCTAAATTGACGAACCCCCACAGAAAAGAATCACAGGGCGTCAGGCCCGGTGAACGTGGGGGCCAACGCAGAAGTTCATCATCATCAGGACCAGCACGGCCAATCCATCTGTTTGGTAGTCTCGCAATCGCCCCTGGCGGCGAACAGTGTTACTACGCGGCCGCGAAGTACCAACATAAACTTGGGTACCAACTTTGTGCATCTGAATTTCATGTCTTTCAAATCGGGAACCTCATTCAGACCAGCCCTGTATTAGACATGACGTGTTATGGCTAAGAAACCTGCGAAAATGTCAACTCTCGCGTAATGATCAGCACATAACAGCGTATAATGGCCTAATGCCTCAGTTCCACGCTTGTCCCAGCTGAACCCAGCTCAAATTTTGCTGGTTTTCGGTGAACATGGCAGGTACAGACATTTCAAGTCGCAAATCGCACGTTTCTTAGGTCGCTCCAAGTTCAAAGCCCTGTGCATGAGGCATCCATTTTCATTCCATATTAAGTGACAACACTTTTAACAGCCCTGAACATGTAACTGTGGCAACACCGCAGTTTAAAATACTATGTGCCACGAAACAGAAAAAGAACACGTCAGCAGAGAACATAAAGCAATCACCAAGTTTAAGCAAATGTTTGCTCGACGATTCGCGTTAACTGGGCCGCTGGTCTTTGAGCACGTGCAGGACGAACGCCGTTCGTTTCGAGAGACGCGAACGTGTGATCGCAGAAATGCCTCCGAACAGATCTGTTGCCACAAATCATCCTCAACCTGCAGGCGAAGGAGGCCATCAGCAAAGCGACATCCGCTCTCCACAACGTTGGTACAGCCCTGCTCATTCTGTATTTTACTGCGTGCCCTCTCCCAAAGCGCGCGGGGGTTCCGCTGCTTCGAGGATTTGGGTTACTCGCGTGTACTGTGATTGGTGACCGACCACGTCACGTGATAATCACGCCCTTTCGTCTCCAAGCATCAAAATACACAATTCATCGTCTTACCTAAAACGTCCACAGGCTTCCAGCACCTTACGATAACGACGGGACTGCGCCCCAGCACCGAAGGACTCACGAACTCTTGGAGCTACGGTGCATCTGTTCGACACATTAACGTTTGATACCACGTGGTCACTCAACAGCGCAACCAATCAACTGCGATTTGACACGGTTTGAAATGGAAGGAAGGAAGGAAGGACGGAAGTACTCGAGAAAAGAACGTCGGTACCCGACGGACCTGTACCAGTTCTGGTATCACTCAGAGATGCTGTGAGTGAATGGCTCGGCACAAAACTGCACGACTATTTGCGAACGAATGATGTCACGAGAGACGCTGTACCCCCCAGAAACCGCAGTCTGGTGGCGCAAGTTAATCCCACTTTGCGTCCTGACACTCGGTTGCGCCACTTGGGGCAGTTTGAGCGACCGACATCGTCGTTCTGATAACACCGACAGCGAGACTCTTTCGATGTTGGCGAACAGACGCCAACTGTTCTCTTTGCGTCCGGCCAAGCGATTCGGAACACGAACGCAGTTTAGGGGGGGGTTGTCGCTGCAGTCCACGGAACACGGAAAAATTATCTCGTATGCCCTCGGGCATATATTTCAATTCGGAATGTTCGATATGCGTGTCATATCTCACTGCCACGAGAAAACGTGAGAGTGCTTATCGGACAGCGAATCGGAGAGAGCAAGCCACTGACGCATTCAAGGACGAAAGTTACCCTGGCGCCCAGACGTCTGGGAGACTACAAAAAAAGTTGTTTCGGAACATACAAACAGCAGCGGCCCCAGGAGTTGGTGTGGACGCCGCTGCACCGAAACCAACTGCGGACACACGCACGCAAATTAGAGGCTGGACTTACCTTCTGGTTTCAGCCGGTCCCTCGCAGACCTGCAGTAGGGGGGCGGAGGCGACTCTGGAACAGAAACGAATCAGCTTAGACGATGGACGAGGACGCACTCGGTACTCCACACCGGAACAGAGATGAAAAGATTGTCACAGCGACGCAAGTTTTAAAAACAAATCATCTTCCGAACAGCGGTTTTACTCACAGATGACATAAGAAGTCACTCCAGTGAATGACTTAACAAACACTCGCCTCTATCGCTTGTAATCACACACGGGTAATTAATTAATTAATTAATATGAACAAGAGCGCACACACCGCACTGTCAAGACAGACAGAAATTTTGCTAACCACCGCCAGTTGCAGTTGAAGAACTGGGTTGTCGAGAACGATGTCACCTTCAAGTTATTAGCCGCAATTAAGCTTCTGGCTTCTGAAGGCGAAAGCCCGGTCCATTCTGGGTTCTGTGGAAGACGAATCCTTGAAATGGATAAAACTATTCAAAAACTGAAATGCCCACTCGAAGCAGAAGTTGGTCCGTGTAAAAACAAATGACGAAAACACAGCGTACTACCTGACGTCACGTGCCCACTCCATTCTGAACGAGAATTATTCATCGTGTTAATATTAAACCCTTGAAGGTACTTATTTTATTTTGTGACGTGTTATTTGAACTGCGTCTCATTTCATACGCTGTTCAAACTAGTTAAAAGTCTCGTCGTCACACGCACGTAGTTCCAAATAAGTGAACTAATTCACACATCGGTGCTAACATAAGCAACCAAGATTGGTTCTTAGACTGTTTAACACCGCTGCCTCAGCTACAAGGACTATCGGTGTCAGTGCAAGTGGGAAAACAGCCAAAGACTTGGAGACAGACAATCTCAAAGTCCTACTGAGGTTTTGTAAAACCACGGGGGGGAAACTCAGGAGCCGGCTGCCCGCACGACATCTGAACCGACCACCTCCCGGAAAACAATTTAGTTGAACGGACGTAACACGAATGAGCAGATCGGTTGCAAAACGCTTGAAACACAATTCCTGCAAGATGGCGACAGACCATCACGAAAAATGTCATGTTCTCTTCTCAGACATTATCCAACACTTCGGTCAGTCGCGGTGCGTGCCAGAGCAGACAACTTAAGATACCTCGGTCCCGCCTACACCCAAACCCCTCGCTCCACAAGTTCCAAACCTGCGCTCACGACTAATTCCATCCACCACGGAACGCAGCTGAAGCCTTACGTAATTCCTTCAGAGGCCTCTCCCTCAGCCGCGACCTTCAGCGGATTCCTCGGAATGAAATTTTGGGTTCCAGAGTCCATTCTGTCAGTCGGGCCCGCGCCATCGTTACGGACACAAGGAGGAAGGGGTGGGGGGAGGAAGCACAGCGCACCGTGCCGGAGAATCTATGGAACAGGCGTCGAGGTGCGGCGGACTGATGGACGGCAGCGTCGTTTCGGTATTTGGGGGAGGCCTAGATTCCACACCGACTGCTTTTAATGAAAACCTAACGAGAAACATAAAGGAATTATAAAGGAAAGTCGTACTTTTAAATTTCAAAATTTTAAATCTGTTTCCCTGAAAAGTGAACGTTTCTGTACCGTTACGTGACCCAGACCCTAGGATAAAACGACACCCTGTATGTCCCGTTCAGGAAATCTAAGACAGATGAAGCAACGTCCCATGTCGGTTCAAGCAGTCGCGCCTGTCTTGGCTTAATTAAAGCCCGCTGCTTATCCAAACATCGCCACGCGAGTCGTTACATGCCCCAGACAACGAACGGGAGACTCGACACGTACGAGAACGTTCCGCAAGTGTGTTCCTGGACCTGGAGCGGCGGTATTCTTGGCCAAACGTACTTCATCAAGACTTAAAAATTACCTCTCTGCGGCTCCGGTTTGAAAACTGCCGACGTCTGCCTGGACACGTGTAAAAGGCCTAATCACCACCTTCCAAACCCAAATATGATCTTGGAATTTCCTAATTAAACTGTCGCCCGGAATAACAATGCCGTATGAGCGTTAATTGCGTTTCGCAATCACACTTCGCAGTTCAGTCACCCGCCTCGGAAGCGCGCACATCAAGCTGATAAGATGGTCTCCAAGTGCTGACAAGGCCAGAGCATCCTTCATCCAACCAAAATTTTAACTGCGACCGGAGTCCTGAGCAAGCGAAGGGCGTCGTCCCTCGCTGGGTTACGTGAATCCAAACACACAGAGGCGTCTTGCACACTAACACGGGGTTAATGCACTGGCTGAAGGCCACGACTTTTCAAAACAGGAGCTACTGTTCATCCCAAAAGCCATTTTGTCCTGTAGGAAAATAACTTCGATTGGATGCATACCTGGGAGGTCGCGGTGGCTTTAGATGACTGTTTCTGCGACATGGAGGGGGGGGTATCATTTTGGCTGAAGGGGAGACAGGACGTCAATTGCCTTACAAGTGACGAAAAACATGGAAAACCTCAGTCAGGGTGACCGAGTCGTTAGACAATATCTTGTTACGTTTTACGGATGTCCCTGGCTGCTCTGCAGAGCGCAAGTCCTCCCCGGTTAACCGTGGATAAATTCAGTTAACCTTTGGTCGGCATCAGTGCCTTTGTTTGTATCGTCTGCCCTTCCTCCAGAGGTTCTTAAAATCGACAAATTACTTCGCTTATAGATTTGGAGGCAAAAACTGTAAACAGAGGTACCAACCAAAATCTTCTGTTGGCAATGGTTCGCCATGGCAAGGAATATGACGACGGTCTTGCATCTCGTTCCTACTTAACTTGTGTGGGGTTAGGGACACATTTCCCGATTCTGCCGCGACACAGCAGCTCTTCGCCGGTTTCCATCGAAAGTGATGAAACGAGAGAGTAACGTCATATTATATCGGGTTTTTTTTAACTACAACTGCCAGGATTAGGGTGACTTTTCGACCACCCTGTACTATGGCACACGCAGAATCCTCCACATCCATTGCCTGCAGGCTGGCAGCTTCCCCTCGTCTACTCCTCACTCGCCCAGGTCGCTCTGCCCCAGGGAAAACGTCCCACGGACTGCACTTCCCCGGGTTTCCCAACCCAAAACTCGACTTGTCTCAATTCAACCTCGGGACGCTCTCAGCAGCCGCCACTGGAAGAACCCAGTAAACGACGAAAGATCCATCATCCCATTTCTTCGAGAACTCACTCGCTCGCAAAAGCGTTCTTCAGTCACGAGAGGAGTTGCGTCCGACCTCTCAGTAATATGTCGCCGCGATGCCAAGCAAGTTTAGGCCACTCACTGTTGAAGCGGCTGGCAAGTCCACAGCCACTAACCCTAAGAAGCCGATATTCGTTCGAATGGTATCGAAGAAAGGAAACAAAGATCAATGGTTGACGCCGAGAACCACGTGAAACGCAGATTTACTGATCGTTGGAGCATATACAGTTGCTACAAGAGGTTGGTTATGCCCTCTTAAGACTAACACGTGTGCGTCCTTTACGTCTGGGCGCAGAGTTCGCCGCTGATACAAGTTTCTTGAGCGCAGGCAGACGACACCTTCAACGCTCACGAACAATAAACCAACGCAGATGTTGGATTACGCGCGCCGCGCGTCTCACTCTTTAACTCTGTACATCCCTGCAAGCGACGTACGTGCGGCAGATGGACGGAAGCTGAAGTTGGATGCAGCCTCAATTAGCTCCACCAAGAAAGACGGGAACCGACCGAGCTGACCTCCAGAACACGCACGAAGCACGGGGTGGCCATTTCACGAGAATCCTCAGAAATTACGGGCCGCCAGTTTCGGACGATCGTCTGCGGAAGCTTTAAGAAGTACCTTTCATCGGCTGCTCGGA